GCTTGTAGATGGCACGGGCTTCTTCGGGACTCAGAGAGGCTGACGAGGAAGTCCTGGCTGGGCTCCCTTCCAACTGGTCCGCAGCCTTTAAGTAAGCCTCCACAGAGGCTTCCTGCTCAGCTCAGATGTTATTCAGCTGCGAGAGGAGGTCTGCAATCGCTGGAAAATAAGCTAGCTCAGTACAACTCCGCACAAGTTGCTCCATCTTATTGCAAATAGCCATGTGCTCCACTGGGCTACGAATAGTGTCCAAGCTGCCACACATATTCTGCAGAACCCTTGAGAGAATAATCAATTCTCTCCTGGGGTCTTGGTGTGACTGGTCCATAATATCGCTGACACCTGAGTCTGCTGAGTCCATGTGTGGCCAGATTGTTCTGTTATGGTGGAGCCCCTCACCAATGGGGGTGAGAGAGTGAGAATGAGGACTCAAGGTGCAAACTCAGGTGCAAGTGCTGAACTATTTTTATTGAGAACACAAATAAAGTCACTGAGTATATGTACAGTCCAAAACCAGGGTAGAGCAGTGGAGGCTGAGGAGACCAGGACGGGCAGGTAAGTAGACATGAGAATTGCAGGAACCAGGAGAGTCAGGACCAGGACGGGCAGGTGAGTAGACAGGAGAACTGCAGGAACCAGGAGAGTCAGAGGACCAGGACGGGTAGGTGAGTGACAGGAGAATGGCAGCGGGTGAGATGACAGGAGGGACACAGGAACCAGAAGACAGGGCAGGTGTAGCATTCGCCATCAGGTACTTACGGCTGGAAAAATCACCGTCAGGCACTCACAGCAGGGAAGATCGCTGGAGATACTACCGGCAGGGGAACGGTCGCCGTCAGGCAAACAGAGTATATCACCAACAGGTGTGGCCACATCTTAACATAAAAACTTCATCTCACCGTAAATGCCACCATTATCATCACAGTCATTACATCACCGTATCTGTGTCAGTCCGTGACAATGATCTGGCGATGAAGGAGCGTCTGCCAGCGCTTTATGTAGGGGTGGTGTGTGATTATAGGATGAGCCGAGGATGTATTTCAAATGTGACACCTCTCTCTGCATCTGGCCTCCAGCCTGGCCACTCTGTCTGAAATTTTCTAGACCCACCTGTGACCATGCCTAGTATCTAGTACAGTACAATGGAAATTGTTCCAGGCCCTGTTCAGTGTAATGTCTCTCTCCTGGGCTGGAACTAAAAATAGGCCCATGCTGTACACATGTGTGTCAGGAATCTCAGTTTCAGCTTCCACAGACTAATGGTTTAGTATGCCATTCAGATCCTTGTGCAGTTTTTAAAGCTCCCACCACCTGGAAGTCACCTGGGGCCTGTTCTGTGTATGTGGATTAACAGGTTAGCCTGATAATATTGTTGAGAGTTTCATATGATCCCAAATCTGTTGGTTCTTCCAAAGTTTTGTTGATCTTGTTGTCCTGGCAACATGTTTGTAATCTCAAACCTCAATCTCAAGGCTCCAATCATAGCTGCTTCCCCCAGACAGACCGGTATAATCACTGTGTATCAGAATACGATGGCAGGCGAGTAAGCAGAACAGATTTTGCCATATATGTTTGAGCCTCACTCAGACTCTAGGAGTCTGTTTCACATGTTCAAATCTGCAATTGTGTCTTGTTTTTATATAATATTAGCTGCTAGCTTGTAAGTGGTGGCTAACACAACCATAGAGATTTTACATTGTTATTACATACACTGTGGAAAAGAGGTCTAAGCCAAATGTGCAAATGTATTTACAGTTTGAGAGTTTGATAGTATGTCAGTATGTCTGTTTTCCCAGAGAACTAGAAGAGTGAGCTTTTAGCACTAGGCTAACCATTAGCACTCAGGTAGCTACTGCCAGGGAGCCAAACCTAATACTTCGCCATTTAATAATATTAAATAGCAAGTATATAAATAGTAGAAGGAAGCGCCAGGGTCTGCTTTACATCCAAAAACTATGCATTCCGGTATGTTTGCTGTCAACAGATACAACTTTTGCTCCTGCTCTTGGTGACTGAAAATTTAGCTGTCGCTGCTCTGATGTCGTTGGTTTCACTGCACTCCTTAAGTCATATTAAATTTGCATGATGAACTATGATTGGCTTTCAGATTTTGTGTGATCATACACTTAGTGTACCCATGCATATTTGAAAATCAGATTTCAGGGGAGTAAACAGACATCTATCCCCTTTGGCAGAGGAATGTAAAAACAGGCTGTTAGCTAATGTTATTGGAGGGCAGATATTTATGGGCTATAAAAATACATTTTGAGTGGAGGGGGTCTTTAAGCTATGGCCTAACTTGAATGTGTAAGTTCAGTAAACTCTACTTAGAGAAAAAATAATGTACAGTGCCTTGCGAAAGTATTCGGCCCCCTTGAACTTTGTGACCTTTTGCCACATTTCAGGCTTCAAACATAAAGATATAAAACTGTAATTTTTTGTGAAGAATCAACAACAAGTGGGACACAATCATGAAGTGGAACGAAATTTATTGGATATTTCAAACTTTTCTAACAAATAAAAAACTGAAAAATTGGGCGTGCAAAATTATTCAGCCCCCTTAAGTTAATACTTTGTAGCGCCACCTTTTGCTGCGATTACAGCTGTAAGTCACTTGGGGTATGTCTCTATCAGTTTTGCACATCAAGAGACTGAAATTTTTGCCCATTCCGCCTTGCAAAACAGCTCGAGCTCAGTGAGGTTGGATAGAGAGCGTTTGTGAACAGCAGTTTTCAGTTCTTCCCACAGATTCTCGATTGGATTCAGGTCTGGACTTTGACTTGGCCATTCTAACACCTGGATATGTTTATTTGTGAACCATTCCATTGTAGATTTTGCTTTATGTTTTGGATCATTGTCTTGTTGGAAGACAAATCTCCATCCCAGTCTCAGGTCTTTTGCAGACTCCATCAGGTTTCCTTCCAAAATGGTCCTGTATTTGGCTCCATCCATCTTCCCATCAATTTTAACCATCTTCCCTGTCCCTGCTGAAGAAAAGCAGGCCCAAACCATGATGCTGCCACCACCATGTTTGACAGTGGGGATGGTGTGTTCAAGGTGATGAGCTGTGTTGCTTTTACGCCAAACATAACATTTTGCATTGTTGCCAAAAAGTTCGATTTTGGTTTCATCTGACCAGAGCACCTTCTTCCACATGTTTGGTGTGTCTCCCAGGTGGCTTGTGGCAAACTTTAAACGACACTTTTTATGGATATCTTTAAGAAATGGCTTTCTTCTTGCCACTCTTCCATAAAGGCCAGATTTGTGCAGTATACGACTGATTGTTGTCCTATGGACAGAGTCTCCCACCTCAGCTGTAGATCTCTGCAGTTCATCCAGAGTGATCATGGGCCTCTTGGCTGCATCTCTGATCAGTCTTCTCCTTGTATGAGCTGAAAGTTTAGAGGGACGGCCAGGTCTTGGTAGATTTGCAGTGGTCTGATACTCCTTCCATTTCAATATTATCGCTTGCACAGTGCTCCTTGGGATGTTTAAAGCTTGGGAAATCTTTTTGTATCCAAATCCGGCTTTAAACTTCTCCACAACAGTATCTCGGACCTGCCTGGTGCAGCTGTAATCGCAGCAAAAGGTGGCGCTACCAAGTATTAACTTAAGGGGGCTGAATAATTTTGCACGCCCAATTTTTCAGTTTTTTATTTGTTAAAAAAGTTTGAAATATCCAATAAATTTCGTTCCACTTCATGATTGTGTCCCACTTGTTGTTGATTCTTCACAAAAAATTACAGTTTTATATCTTTATGTTTGAAGCCTGAAATGTGGCAAAAGGTTGCAAAGTTCAAGGGGGCCGAATACTTTCGCAAGGCACTGTAATTCACTCTTTATGCTCCTAAAGACTCTTAATGCTTTCATATTGTACACTGTGTTCCTGCATTGGAACGTTCAAATTCAGGATGTGATGTTTTCATGGTAACTATGGCTGCACCCTTTAAGGAAAAACCAAGCAAGAGATTGAGAAAGCTAGGCTCATTCTTAGAGATAAGGTAAGGAGTTAAGACATCTGGAGGGAGTTTGGAGTACAGTCACTGATCCTTTTTCAAATGGGAACACCGAGTACAATGAGGAAGTTGGTACAGGCTGTTGGAAAAGTCCAGCCCTGCCCACATCAGGTACTCATAGTGCTCTGTTCAAGACCAGTGGGAAGTTTGGATACCTGCCATTTTTTTTCTATACATCATTTTTCTGAACATCTGTCATATGTCCTTTCAGACTGGGTGCAAGATTTCACCTCCCCGTAGAACAGCAACTCAGTGGTTTAGCAGTAAATTGAATGTGCATAATTAATGACAGATACATGACATGTACACCTTGTTCCACTGTAGGGCTTTGTCCTTTGAGGTCACAAAATCTTACACAGAATTCAGGCATTCGGATAAAATGGCAGACAGTAAATAATTATAGAGCACTACACAATAAACTGAGATATTTTATATACAGACACCATGGAAAAACATTAAGATCACAACATGGAAGACACACACACAAAACCTAAAATAAAAGACAGGAGAAAGGTCCATTATGATTTTATTTGTTTCTATCCTTGATTAAATGACAAGGTGGAGGAACTGATGGAAAGTTGAGTGATGTTAGTTCTATTTCACATCAGCATTAGATCCAATGGAATATTAAAGCCAACATCATTACTCACCTAAAGCCTTGAGCTCTGAAGGAAGACATTATGAAATGCATGAACATCAGGTCATTGTGGAATTAAACTGCCTGTTCTGTTGATTCTACACCAAACTACATTCATGTGCAAAACACAAATCAAGAGTTGACCACTGAAATGTCGCAAGGCAATACATCGACTTTACCACTTAACATAATGAGATCCTGAAAACGAGTCTGTACCGCTTCTCAGGAAGACTTTCAATTCATCACTTTGGTGTTACATTTATACAATATTCTGAAAAGAAACAAAAATGTACAACTGTATAAATATAAAATTCTTCCAACATGTTTAATGGCTAAAACATTCATAAAGTTCCATGACAATGCAGTGATGAATCCAGCAAAAGAAAAAAAAAATCTTGAGTTAGCACCATTGCCCTTATAGCAGGCCAATGTGGCTAACAGGCTGGACAGTGGACACACAACACTACATTCACTGCAAAAGGCATGACACCAAGTAATAACATCCTTTCACACACTTTTGTGATTCAATAAAGCACAAATAGAAAATAAGGTAAAAAGGGTCTCTTATGATCAGATGTAAAAGACAGGAGGAACTAACTTCCCTGGAGTGCTGACTTTTCCTTACACAGATCAGAGGAGTGTACCAACTTTTTCATTCATTAAGTTAAGTCGGAGTGTGTGTTCATATCTCACATACACATGTACCTTGTTCTGGAGTGGTCACATAGTTCTCATGCTTTTTCTGTGGCTAAACCTCAACAGTTCTCCCCACAGAAAAAACATGAGAACTGTGTAACCACTCCAGAACTATCTACTGAAACCACACAAGGCAGCGATATGCAGAGGGGGACGAACACAGGTCACTACACATGGATGGAATTACAGTTTATGCTCATCGATGAGCAATGCCTCATGGCTTGTCGGAAAGTCTCATTTACAGCTAAATAAATGTTCTTTATCAGGCCCATTGCTACTCTTACATTCTAATGCTAGACAGAAGCTAGTGATGAAAGCAGTCAATTCTTGTTATTAATTCAAGGCTTGTTGTGATAGACTTAACCACTACCCTTCTTACTTATCTCCTACATTAGACTGGTTTTTATTTAAGGACAAAGGGGTGTGTGGGGGGTGGGGGGGTCAGGGAAAGTGCTATGGTGGTCCTGATGTCAGTCATACATTGTTGACCCGGACCTTGACGTCAAAACGTCCCTGGTAGCGGTCTTTGTCGCTGTAGTGGATGTTTTCTCCAAACACTTTGCACTCGATGCGCACTTCAGCATTCATGGTCAGGTTGGTGAACTGCACCGCTACCAGCGGCTGCAAGTACTGAGGGTGGAGCAGCTTGCCATAGTAGGGGTAGTACTGCAAGGGGAAGCCGCCACCAATACCATAGTACATAATCTCCCCAATTTTACCAGCATCCTCCCCCTTCTGAAAAGATAAAAAAAAAAAAACTATTTTTTCATTATATGCCAAATTAATCTTGTGAACACAAAGAACATCACTCACATTTGTATTACATGGGTGGAACCAAGGGCATGGCCAGGGGTGACAAAATGTTGCCCTAAATGCAATGATATCATTCTCATGATTGTCCTCAGGGGTGGGGGCTCACCACTGTACTGCAGCGATGTCCCCAGTCAGGAACATACAGTATAAGGAATGCAGAAAAAGTTAGGTCTGAACTGGAAAACAAACATACAAACAACAAGAAAAAAAAACAGGTACCTTGCTTGTGCAGTAGATTGGGATCACATTGGGCTGCACCTTGGGTCGAGCCCCTTCTGGGATGCTGTCATTAGAGCTAGGAGGCTGAAGACAGAACACAACACATAGCAGTAGAATATTTAATAGTACTCCAGTAGAACTCCACACAGATTGCTTTGTCTTTCACAGAGATGCCATTTCTGTTTAGTCTATGCCTGAATGCACTCTGATCTAACAGTGCAGACCACAGCTAAAGTCTGGAGGTGCCTACTACATATGTACATACATTTTTCTGTCAAATGCCTACTACTAGGGGTGCAACGATACACTTGGCTCATGAGACGTGATGATACACGATATTGGGTTTATGAGAACAAAATGATATTTTAACACTATTTTTAAGAAATCTTCAAAGACAAATATGACTGGAAAAATAGTATTTTATTCAAGTGAAAGTAACAAGCAAAACAATGCAGGTGCATTTTGAAATGTTTTAACTAATCTTCTTGCAATGGATACCACTTCATTTTTACTTTGAGTATGAATTATCATATGCAGTAAAAGACAACAATATGCAAGCACTGGAAAAGGTTTTGCCACAAACTCAACTGACTGGCTTCTCTCTTGTACAACTTCACACAAGTCTCTTCAGGCCTTAGAACTGTGCATGAGCTCCTAACTTCTAATTCAGGGGTGGCCAATTCCAGTCCTTGAGGGCCGCTGTCCTGCTTGTTTTCCCAACTATCCCTGCCTGACCTGCTGCTGATTACCTGGCTCAGGTGTGTTCAATCAATCAGAAGCTGGAAGATACCAATTCACTTTATCTTTCCTCACTCCACTTTCATCTAAGGTGGTATCTTCCAGCTTCTGACTGGCTGAACACACCTGAGCCAGGTAATCAGCAGCAGGTCAGGCAGGGATAGTTGGAAAACAAGCAGGACAGTGGCCCTCAAGGACTGGAATTGGCAACCCCTGTTCTAACTGAATCTGTGCGTGACCTTCTATGCCACTTTCACCCATGTTGCACTGGACGGTGACATCATATGGGGGACAATCGAGACTTTTTTTTGACCTTGTTAGCTTTCACTGCTATTCACTGTTGAATTTGGTCATCTTCAGCCGTTTCTCAGGTGACCCTTGCCTTGCATACTGTTGCAGCCAGTGAACTGTGTCCTCTGACCTGAGATGCACCATATCAGCTACCTAGTTTACACATTGAGATCACAATGCAGGCACAGGTCTGTGCTCAGATATCACGATCCAGGTATGTATCCAGAGATACAGATCACAGGTAAATTCCAGGTACAACTGGAGTATGAGAAGGAGACCTGGACATGAGATTTCATACTAAGAATGAGTATCTCTACTCAGATGATAGTAAGAAAAAGTCAAAGCCAACCTTATGTTTAACACCAGACTCCACTAAAAGCAGTGAACAACTAATGTACAGTTTGACTTTTTGTCTTAAATAAAACACGAGTCCAATCAAAAATATTCATTTAAATTACCCTTGGCCAGAAGTTGACAATCCTGTTTAGCTTTACAATCAGACAGGGCTTGCCCTCCTTGAAACCAAACTCACGGTCCTCGATGCCAGAGCAAGGTCCCAGTAGGGACCTGGAGAAACGACAGGCCTTCCTGATGCCCACATCGCTCTCCAAGTTGCCCCGATTCCTGTACTCTGCAGGCTCATCTGAAGATGGGAGTCAAAAGTTAACTTGGGTTAGCGGTCTGAGAATCCAATCTGTCAAACCTGGAATCTTCTCTTAACACTTGTAAAATCTACCTCCACAGTCCTGGAACTTCATATCGTCTCTCTGGTGCTCATCATCATACTTGGCCAAGAATTCCTTCATGTCCTTGACATAAGGCAAGTAGCTGGCTACATCGTTGAGGTTGAAGGAGAACTCAGTTTTGTCTGATTGTGGAGTGTGCGTGAGGCCTGCAGGGACAATGGATCAGCTGCTTGTTACCAACAGTGATGCTGTACTCATGTTCTGTCCACTTACACTTTAGCCCAGCACACATAGAAGTGAATAAAGAGTCAAAAATTGAAACCCCTTATATTGACTAAGAGCAGAAAACTACACAAACTTTCAAAATCTGACCATCTGACATTTGAGCTTAGATGTCTTGAAGTTAAAACTATACAGTTTGATTCTTAATAAGCTATGGTTTATCATTTCATAAAACTAGGGATTTAATTTACTTTTCACATGTATTTTAAATGTGCCACCCCACCCAAGATTTTCTAGATCCATCCCTGCCTGTGACACACTCAGGAAATACTATGTGGAAAATGCACTTTTGCCATTGTCTGCAGATTCAGACAAGCTGATCAATATCAATATTATATTTAATGGTAAACATTTATATGTCCCAGAATAGAGATTACATTTCCTCCTGTTTCCAGTCTTTGTGCCAAGACAGGCTAAAATAGCTGAATATGCACCATCCCAGAGTGATGGCTCTCATGTGACACTTAAAGAATCTTTCTTAAAGGATCAGAACTTTTCCTTCAGCCCAGTAATTACATGCTTGATTGGTGCCAACCTTCAATCTGTCAAACATAAGCTCAGCTGACTGTATTCCACACATGCTCAGTTTGGCCTCGTATACCCCAGCAGGCCTTCCTCACCATGGCAACCAGGCTGTGGTATGTACACAGGTGAGGCTGTGTTGGGACCATGATGAGCAGATATACAGTATGAAGAGTGTTTTACACATGCATTCATCCTGAGACTGATGAAAAACAACCAAGTCAGTGAGAAGGTAGCCACTAAGCCAGTGAGTAACCACCACTGAAATAAACACTCATCCCACAGATCCTTTCAGGAAGGTTTAGCCAATATCTGTATGAGGGAAATAGTCACAAGTTCTTCTAAGTATAACAACTTCATTTACTACTCTAGTTGACTATTACTAAGGGGTGTGTCTATTCTGTTTAGCTACAGATGACCTTTAGACTGAGGGGCAGGTGTGGTGGGTAGCATCCCGACAGACAGGAAGCAGCTGTCATGTCTTACCAGGTGGTGCGACTCTGTCCTGCCATGTAGGCTTGTAGTTGCTCAGGGTGAGCAGCATGGCTTGGAATAAAGATCCCAGCCAGGCAGCCATAGAAAATGACATAGAACAAGAAAATCTTGACTGTGGAGAAGAAAAAAAAAAGATAAGGATAATCACCTTTATTGGCCAAGTATGTTACACACAAGGAATTTGTTTCCGGTACAGAACCGAGGCAAACGTGCGGTGCCACCTCAACCAATGGCTCTAACCACTGGGGGCAACTTGGGGGTTCAGTGTCTTGCCCATGGACACTTCAACAGGTGGACTGTAGGCACAGAGATTTGAACCTCCGGTTGGGAGACAACTGTTCTACCCACTGAACCACAGTCGCCCCCGAAAGAATGAACATGTCAGTACAGCTGTACATAGAGATAGCTTAAGGAAGCTGCACTAGCTGAGCCAAAAGTAGGGTTGCAACAGTACAAGATTTTCATGGCATGATAACCATCTGAGAAAATTTCACAGTATTACACAATTACCATTATTATCAGCCCCAGAAGAATGAAAAAAACGTTTTTGTTTTGTTTTTTTTATTGCAGGTGACTGTGCCAGTCGATTGAACTGGACTGTAGCACTGGACTCAACCTTAAAGAATAATCAGAATAAACATGATTTTAAAAAAAAGCCATGTTATATAACTAAAGCATGTTAGGTTGCATGTTAGCACCAGTAGTAGAGGAAATATTCACATCCTTTGAGGAAAATACAACACCGTAAAAGTAGCCTACTCTGTTACACACACGCATGTGTGCGCACACACGCACACAGTCTTGCGAGTCAGGAAAGTTCATCCATGTGTTTCTGAGGTCAGGTCGGGATCACTGCATGTCCTTTTGTGAGTCAAAGATTAGCGAATGAACAGACAATGTAGAATTTCTTTTTTCCATGACTGACGTTTGTTGTTTGGGATTAAAGTCCTAAATGCACCACATACTTTGACTTGCATGGAGCGATGTGTTCTGTGTTTTGAGATATCCAAAATAATCCAACACTGTTGGTTTTAATTTCTTTTTTGATGGATGGAGTTTGGTGATTTCAGCTTGCTGCCGAGTCTGACGGGCAGTCGGGGAAGAAAGGTGATCACGCACCCATTTGTGTGCGTTTTAATTCTTCATCAATACCGGTAATAAGCAAATGTGCATGGTATGATGACCATCTATTTTCATACCGCAAAACCATAACAAAGCTGCAACCCTAGACAAAAGTAAGCAGTAGGTAAAATCACATGAAAATCAGTCAGCTTGATATTCTATGTAATGAAATGAGCTTCACTTTATGAATGGCAAAATACAAAACTTATTGCTAAAACTTTTCCCAGCTTTATTTGGGTTTTAACTTTCATTTAGCTTAAAATCATGAACTTGCATAACACATTTTGTAAGAATAAGGCAGTACAATTGTACCATACTATTACCAGTCCAATAAGCCAGAATACTATCACCTAGGTCGAGTCTAGATACTCCACACTTTTCATGGCACGGATCACTTGTTTTCACTGAGAGGAGCTATCAACCTGGAAACGAACTAAGACTGGGGTTTTTCCATCTGTAACAGGTCAACTATAGAATATCTGTCAGACAGGAACATACTAATAAAACTATCAGTATACTACTGTGTACAGTA